TTAAATGTTCAGTCAAAATAATAATTAAAAAAAAAAAATCTAAAAGTCAGACACACAGGGTTTTTGAAAGCAAAAGCTAAACTGCTAAAAAATTAAATTAAAATTAAAAATCTGTTGCTTGTGATCAGTGTAGTTAAAAGGTTGTGTAGCTAGTTCGCGACACATCAAATGCGTTTTTCCTATAAACTGGTTGTGCTCTTAACTTGCTAACTATGACCTTAGCATTAACTTGCTAATTAAGTTAGCGTACAAAGCACCAACTTAACTTTTTATGGCATCAAATAGCTGATCTACAACAAACTGCTCCTGGACTTCAGCGGTGACTGCAGTGGGAACAGCTGCAACTGCTTTTTGCAGCTCCTTGACTGTGTTAGCATTTGAAAATTCTAGATTAGCATGAGCCGCTAGCAGCTAGCTAAACTGAAGAGCTGTCGGACACCTTGTTCCAACTTGATGCTGTAGAGTTAGTAGGACGGTGCACTCATTTTATGGACTCTTACTGACCGTCAATAAACACACCTGTAACTCCGTCACACTAAACAGTAAGAGGCGCCACCTAGTGGAACAACCAGGTACTACAGCAAACCTACACCACATTTATATATCTTCTGTCTTCTGCCTCATCAGTGAATTTCCTTTAATTAAAAAGTATTAAGAGCAATAAATCAAAGAGCAGCTAATCATTAACATCCTCATTATACAGTCTGTGGAGTTTAGCCTGATTGTTCAGACGGCCAGAAGCAGCTAGAAATGCTTCAGTTGTGTTCGTCCACTAAAAACAAAGCAATCATCTCAGAATATTTCAGTACAAGACGCCTCATTTTCATCCCTCATCCGTTAGTCATTATTCAGAGCATATGATCGATTTGCATCCTCCCAAAGTGTAACGATAACCCTAAATTAGACGTGAAAGTGATCGCTGTTGTCAGTCCGTCGAGCTGTTTCTGAATAAACTATGGAGCCCATATTTTAGAAGCAACAGTACAACAGTACAGCTCACTGATGTGTTTAAAGGCTTTATGGACAACTATGGAAGATCACGACACGTATGCACACCAACAGGATCAAACACAAACCAAGACACAGTGTGTGTTGTTGTGTGGTTGTTGTTTTGAGGACTATTGTGAGTTTGGTGTGTTTTGAGATTTTTAAGGGGTTCAGGTTTTAGGTTGTGAATGAGGGTCCGTTCCTGTACACCTATCGATAACGGGACTAATACAGGTGATGGACGCTACAAGGACGTTCTCGTGGGTCCTCGTTTCGTGACTTTTTGTTTTACAATCAGGTGTCACGTTGCGATGAGGGTCCCCATAAAGACTGAACTAAACATTTGTGTTTCTGATCTTGTACAGCTACTATTCTGAGGACTAATGTGAGTTTTCGGACTGTACAAGGACATTTTATCAGGTCCTCACTCAGTAACGCAGCCGATTAACTTGTCAGATTAGAAACACGTCCTTTGACACGCAGGTCAATGAGGGTCCTCACAACGACACGAATAGAAATCTGTGTTCTTGCTCAGCTATCAATGGGAGGACACATGGCAGTCGATTAGCTTGTTAGGACTTTTTATCAGGTCGTCATGGGGTACCGAGGCTGTTCAAGTTTTCAGTTGGAATCAGGTTTCAGGTTTTTAGTAAGAGTCCCCACAAAGACCGAAGTAAGAATTGTACGTGGGTTCTTGTTGACCCGTCAGTATGAGGACTACCGGTAGTCTCTGACTTCATGAGGACTCGGTGACGTGGTGTTGGAGGGTTCAGCCTCAGGTTTCAGGTTGTCACTGAGGGTCCTCACAAAGACAGACGATGAAGTTGTGGATGTGTTGTTGTACAGCTGCCAGTCTGAGGACGAAAGAGTCTCCTGACATTTCATTGGGTCCTTACTTGGTAACATGGCCGTTCAAGTTTCCAGTCAGAATCAGGTTTTAGCTAAAGACAGAAGACTGTGAGCATGTTCTCGTACACCTGTTGTTATGAGGACTGATGTTTGTTTGTTTGTAAGGAGGCTCTCCAGGTTCCAGGTTCCAGGTTCCAGGTTCCAGCTTCAGGTTTCACTTTGTCGATGAGGGTCCTCACAAACACAGAAGTAAAAGTGTGAGCGTGTTTGTGTGTTTGTTATCAGCGCCGTCCAGCCTTCTCAGCTTTTTCCTGCCAAACATCCGTTTCCTTGGCAACGCAGACGGGAAACAGGAAGTGTGAGCCACAGGAAGTGACTTCTAATCTTTGTCAAGTCTTTTTTGTTGTTTTAAAACCGTGCTCTCGTCTCCAACATGTCCTCCTGCCCCCGGCGTTCCTGTAGGAACGTGCCGGTTCTTACACACAGGCCAGCTGGCTAGCACACTGTTAGCAGCTAGCAGGCTACCAGCTGCCTGCCTGTTCCATAAGCTGATAGGTAGCTAACAGCTGGCTGCTAACGGATGAAGCCAGCGTGCTACACGATGGTGTGGTGGAGCTGTGGTGGGTTTCTGGGACCCCGACTACTGAGCAGTTATCTTTACCTTTAATTTAAATGTAAATTTATGGCATTTGTTTGACACCTTTTGAAGAATTTACACATAAAATATGAAGCACGCTTACAGATTACGTTGGTCTTTGGGGGAAATGTACAGCATTGAGCAGCTCACACAAGAAAAGTAAGAAACATAATGTGCTTATCGTTTATTAAAGAGCATAAAATGGCAGCTTCTGGTCTGATTCCATCACTGTGTTCTAGCGCAGCTCTCACAGGAGACATTATCTGAACAAAGACACGTCTAAAGTGCATTAATGCACAACCCTGACATACGTATTTTATCTTGTAGTTTATTATCTAAAAGTTTTTGGGATATTTTATGACTTATGAAGCTCGCAGGTTCCTGACGGCGGCTCCTCTCTCACCACTGGGTTCAGTTCTACCAGGATTTTATTTCATTTATTTAGCTTTTGCTCATAAAAGTACAAAACATTTAAATTGCTTTACCTCTCCGCTGTGTTTAATACGCATTTAAATTCAGCTTTTGTTGGCTGCCTGGGAGGAGACGCCGTCTGAGGTAAACTCTCACAGCGACAGTAATGAGTTACAGTAAACTCTTCACGCCGTAAACCTCCATCATCACACTCCACCGGTGACAGACGGACTCGTTCTACTTGTGATTTAAAACACGGTGACTCGAGGATCTGGAGAACATTTTTTAACCAAACTGGGACCTGAAGCAGACGATGATTGAGAAGATGGAAACCTTCACATTCAGCAACGACAACCACAAAATCTGATGTTTTATGACGTTACCGACAGTTGTGGTTGTTTTGTGTCGTTTAGTGGCCATTTTGTGTCTCTTTGTGGTTGTTTTTTGTTCCTTTGTGGTCACTTCATGTGTCTGTGGTTGTCTGTAGTCGTTTTGTGTTTAATTGTAATAGTATTTAGTCTTGTTGTGATCATTTCGTGTCTCTTTGTTGTGATTTCGTGTGTCCTTATAGTCATTTTGTGTTACTTTGTGATAGTTTTTTTGTTTCTTTGTGGTCGTTTTGTGTTTTTTTTGAAGTTGTTTTGTGTCTCTGTGGTTGTCTTTAGTCTTTTTGTGGTCACTTTGTGTGTCTTTTGGTTGTTTTGTGTGTCTTTGTTTTTATTTCTGATCATTTCGTGTCTCTTTGCGGTTGTTTTTACTCGTTGTGGTCATTTTGTATTTTTTTGTGGTTGTTTTGTGTCTTTTATTGGTCATTTCGTGTCTTTGTGGTCATCTTGTGTACCTTTTTGACCATTTTGGATCTCTTTTTTGTCTCTCATTGGAGGGTTTTGTGTATCTTTGTGGTCATCTTGTGGTTGTTTTGTGTCTATTTAAGGTAATTTTGTGTTGTTGTGGTCGTATTGTGTTTCTTTGTAAACATTTTGTGTATCTTCGTGGTGATTTTGTGTCTCCTTATAATCATTTTGTGTTCCTTTGTGATCATTTTCAGTCTTCTTGTGTTCAATTTGTGTTTCCTTGTGGTCCTTTTGTGGTTGTTTTTGTGTCTGTGTGGAAATTTTGTGTCTTTTTGTATCTTTTTTGTCAATTTTGTGTTTTTGTGGTCTTATTATGTTTTTTTGTAGACATTTTGTGTCTTCTTATGGTCATTTTGTGTCTCTGTGGTTGTCTTTAGTCTTTTGGTGGTCATTTTGGGAACATTTTTGATCACTTAGGAACTCTTTGTCTTTTATTGGAGGGTTTTGTGTGTGTTTGTGGTCGTTTTGTGTTTTTTTTGTTGCCATTTTGCATCTCATTGTGGTCATTTTTTGTAATTTGCAGTCATTTAGTGTCATTTGTCATTGTGTTTTGTGTGTGTCTCTTTATAGTCATTTTGTGTTCCTTTGTGATCGTTTTAAATCTCTGTTTTTGTCTCTTATTGGAGGGTTTTGTGTCTTTTTGGTCATCTTGTGTCTCTTTATTGTCTTTTTGTGTTACTTTGTGATAGTTTTGTGTGTTTAACTCTTACAGACACTTTTCATTGTTTTATGATATTTTACAGGCAAAACAAACGAACCATTAATCAGGAAACAACAGGCAGGATGACGGATGATGAGCATGATTGTGAGTCGCGGCTCTAACAGCCAATCACAGAGCGGAGACGCCGTGATTGAGATCCTGCGTCTTTGTTTGCAGTCAGAGCCGCTGATTTGCTCATAAATGCTAGCTGCTAGCCGGCGCTAAGCCCTCATCTGCTGCAGCGAGGCCCTCAGTCGATTCACGTTTTAGTGTGCTGGGCTCAGAATAGCAACAGAGAAATAAATCAATATGTAAAACTTTACATAATACTAGCAGCGGTGAGGCGGACGCTGCCTCGCTCGGCCCGTTGCCATGCTAACGGCTTCACGTTGTGTAATTCTGGAGGTTTAAACTCCTGACATGGTCTCCTCCTCCCCCCTCCTCCACATCCTGGCCTCCCTCTCCTTTACCTCCTCCCCGCCTTCCTCTTCCTCCCCCTTTTCCTCCCTTTCTACAGGATGGGCAGGGCAGCTCCCAGAACACAATCTGAAGCTCTGAGACTCCCCTGCAGGACGCCCGCTCCACACTAGAACCACACAAAGTACTTCTGCAGGTCCACAGAGAACACTTCACCTGCTTCAGCCCATCTCCACCGCCGGAGACGTCCCCCGAGAACCGACCGGAGCCGCAGGAACCAGGCACCTCAGGCTGGACCAGAACCAGAACCCGGAGCAGGAACCAGGCCAGAGCCAGCACGGGACCAGTGAGCCAGTCAGAGCGGACCAGAGCAGGCCAGGACGGAGCAGAAGAGCCCAGCAGAGATCAGTCAAGGCCAGTGGAAAAGTTTGATGGGACTGCTGACGATAGGTGAGTCGGTCCTTCTGCTGCTCCTCAGCTTCACAATCAGACTTTTAACTATTCAGTCCAGAAATTTACACGTTCAGGATAAAAAGGCCTCAAAGCTCCTTCATCAGACGTATAGAAGTCCTGCATTTGATCTACAGGATGTTGGTCTCGCTGTTGAAGGAACTTCTGGCTGTCAGGACGGCTGCTCTGAAATTATTTGAGGTTTTGTTGGTAAATTTGTCCATGAAGTCATTTTTTTTGAGCCTCTCTGGAACCACGTTGGTTTCCTTCATGGTGGTTTTGAGTCTTTGCAGGTGTTGTGAGTTCACTTGTGGTCTTTTTGAGTCTCTTTAGGGGTTCTGTGTGGTTTGGTTTGTGTCCTGTTGCACTTATTCCACTTTTCTCTGGTTGTTCTGAGTCTGTTTTGATTGTTGTGTGTCTCTTTGTTGTTGTTTTAACTCTGTGTGATTATCTTGTGTCTCTATGTGTTATTTTGAACCCTGTTCTCGTCTTGGATCTTTGTGCTTTTAGGGGTTTTTTTTGCGGTTATTTTGCTTCTCTCTGGTTGTTTTGTGTCATTCTGTGTCAGTTTTCAGTTGTTTTGAGTCTCTTTGTGGTCGTTATTGAGCAGAATGTGTGAAACTGAAACAGGGTTTTTATTGTTTTAATGTCTTTTCACAAGCCAAGCAAATGACTGATCGTTTTCTGGCCCTTTTCTATCTTTTCAGTCACTTTGAATCTCTTCAGTTGTTCTGATTCTCTTGTTTTGAGTCTCTGGAGTCATTTTAAACGTCTTTTTGGTGGTTTTGTGTTTCTGAAGCCTCTTTATAGCCTCACTGGTCTCGTTTGGTTTCTTCAGATTGCTTCAGTCCTGCTTTGGTTCCTTTTGCTGAGTTTTAATGAAGAAATCCGTCCAGTCGTTACTAATTAACAGTCAAACTTTCAGGTCAATACAAGTATTTCCAAAGAATAAGACGATCCCACGTGGATGTAAAAAGAATTGTTTTAGTTTTTATGTCTCTGGAGCTTCGACTCTTCACATAATTTCTCTGTTTTATAAGTTTTGGGACATTTTATGAGTTTTCAGAGGCTAAAAAAAACCCAAGAAGTTTTTTTTGTTGTTGTTTTTTTAAAAAGTTGAATATCCAAACCAACAAACATGTAAACTCAAAATGAAACTGAGACGGTGCTGATATCTGAAAATGATCCAGCGTGAGGACAAGTTAGCTTTCAGACGATCTGGACGTTGGCCGTCGAGCACAAACTGCTGCTAAAGGCTAAACTCCACTTTTTAAACTAAACGCCTTTTATTAGACGACGTCTTTGACACCAGTTGGTTTGGACTCCGAGTTCAGTAAACGTTAAACGGATCTCTCACTCAGGACGGCCGCTGATGTGAAAGTTTCCTCCTAATGAAGGTAACGATGGAGATTGATTGGACGAACTAATCTGCCAGAACACCCGGAGACTACAGACTAGACGACCAAACTCTAAATTCTCTGTTTGCAGCTTCGTAAATGTGAATATTTTTTAGTTTCTTTCCTCCTAAACTGGAAATCTTTGGACCGTGAACAAAACAAAACATTTGCGTGAACATCACCGCACCAAACAACACGTCTGTCACAGTATTTCTTTGTACATCCATTGATATTTAATGTAATTTTTTTTACCTCCAATCATCTTGAACGCATCATATTTGAGCAACAGAGCCGCAATTCACATGAGTTTTCTTTACCAATTAATAAATAATGTGTTTGTTTGGCCTGTAAAACGGTGAAAATGGTGATAAATGTTGAGTGTTTGTGGTTGTTGTGAGTCTCTGTCACGAGAGTCCATCCAATAATCGCTGTAATATTTCAGTTCAGCCCAAATGTCAGTGCAGCTAATGATGATAATGGGTGCGTTACCTTCTCGATTAATTAATTAATCGTTTGGGCTTCGAAATGTCAGAAAATGACTAAACATGTTGATCAATGTTTTCCATTGTTTGGTCCAAAGACACTCAGTTTAACCGTCATAGAGGAGCAAAATGTTCACATTTAAAAGCTGCAATCAGAGAATTAAAAACAAAACAAAACAGCTGATGATTGATTTAATAATTGACCACTAATTGATTAAGTGTTGAAGCTCTAAACGCTTCACCTGTTCCTACGATAACCGCCTCAGTGTTTGAATTTAAACCCGTTTTCTTGCGGTCGCATGAATCAAAGTGAAACACTGAGTTTCTCGCTGAGCTTTCTCTCCTCCAGCTCCTGTTCTGTTTCTTCCACTCGCCGCCTGTGAAACAGAGAATTTGCACTCGAGGACACGAAGCTGATTTTTTATTCTGATCACTGGGAGTGTAAAACAGGCCGACTGTGATCGCTGTCAGCTGGAATCGCAGACGTTCGTCTCCCCACAGAGGAACATTCAGTCTCTCTGAATTACACAAGACCGCTGTGGAAGGACGTCTCGGCTTTTCATCAGTGTCCTGCTGTCAACAGTAATTACACTGAACTCGACTGCATCAAAACGCTGCTTACCGACACCCAAGACCAACTTCTGATGAGAAGTTTTAGGGCTGATATAATTTTCACTCTTCGTCAAATCATCTTCTGATCACATGAGTCTGAAACTCCAAAGAAATCTAGTTTGTTGAGTGTTTCTAAGGCGAAGGATGAGTTTTCACTCTCAAGAACAGAATAATTTTCATGAATGTTGGAGGATTTACGGTTTAGATTCCTGATAATTTTTTAGAATCACTCGTTCTTTGACTTGCAGCAGAAACATTTCTGGTTTGTAGGCGGCAACTGTTGGTTTTTGCTAAATTTAGGAGCTCCTTGGTTACAAATTCAGAGCTGCTGTGACTCTACAGTTGGAACCAGGGATGGAAACAGGGATTTTTAACAAGCATCACCAATAACTGATCAATATTCAGTACGAATGATATGAAGTGGACATTAATCCATGTGCTCACTGAGCTGTTTATAACCACAAACTCGTAAAATTAGCCGTGAACGCAGTCTGAACCCATTAGAATACACGAGTGCTGGCTGGAAGTCACTGCGCTCCTCAGAAGTCCTGGTCATGATTCTGTTGCTAGCTAATGGTGCCGTTGGTAGCTAATGGTGCCCGTTGCTAGCTAATGGTGCCGTTGGTAGCTAATGGTGCCTGCTGGTAGCTAATGGTGCCCGTTGCTAGCTAACGGTGCCCATTGGTAGCTAATGGTGCCGT